TATATTTTCCTTTTCTTCCATTACATGCGTGCGATATATATAAATATATAAACTATGTTACATGCGTTATATGCGTCTCTAATTATTTTTCCCTAGCAAATTTCAATTGAACCTAAAGCTGCCACGTCAGTTTAATTGGTATGCTAATTGATTGACAACTAAGCAATGTTACTTTTTAATTAATACAAACTTGAGGTTACATCTTTTCAAATGTTTCTCAATTAATATATAGGGGATGGGGTGGGATTAAGTGATTAACGTAGTTAAGGGTGTAGATTATGGTTTAGATTATGGTTTAGGGTGTATGGTAGTTTAGTGTTTTATTGATTACTAAATGATATTTTAGATATTTACTCTATTTAAATTCTAACTTTTGTGATTAAAAAAACTGAAATTCTTTATATGAGATTTGTCCTTAAAAATATTGTGAAATTTGCAGCACAACTAACCTATTAAAATTATTTTAGAACTTGAAGCACAATTAACGTTAAATCCCCTGTTTTTGCAGAGGAGTTGCTGTTGGAGATCCGAGCAGTGACAATGGTGTTAAGCTTCTGATCGAGGATTACCCATTCGCAGTGGACGGTTTAGAGATTTGGTCAGCGATCAAGACGTGGGTGACAGATTACTGCTCATTCTATTACAAGAACGACAGAACCGTCCAAACCGATACAGAGATCCAATCATGGTGGACCGAACTTAGAACCGAAGGCCACGGAGATATACAACACGAGTCATGGTGGCCGTCCATGCAAACCCGCGAGGAACTCATCGAGACATGCACCATCATCATCTGGATCGCCTCTGCTCTTCACGCAGCAGTCAACTTCGGACAATACCCTTACGCCGGTTTTCTCCCTAACCGGCCTACCGTCAGCCGTCGGTTTATGCCTGAACCGGGTACTAAAGAGTATACTGAGTTGGAGGAAAACGAGGACGTGGCGTTCTTGAAGACCATCACGCCGCAGTTACAGACTCTGCTTGGTATCTCCATCATAGAGATTTTATCTATGCATTCGACGGATGAGATTTACTTAGGTCAGAGAGATTCACCGAATTGGACGGCGGATGATGAGCCTTTGGAAGCGTTCAAGCGGTTTGGGAAGAGTTTGGAGTTGATAGAGAACAATATTATAAGGAGGAACAATGATAAGAGGTTGAAGAACCGGACCGGACCGGTTAACATTCCGTACACTCTCTTGTACCCGAACACTACGGATTATACAAGAGAAGGTGGACTTACTGGTAAAGGGATTCCAAATAGTGTCTCTATCTAGAGATAGATCACTCATTGTTCATATGTCATACCGTTTACTCGTTGGTTTTTATTACTTTCCATCATTATGTGAAATTATTTGCTTGTTACTTGTCCTAGGTTTTTCTCGAACAATGTAGATGTCAATTTCAGTTTGTTTTGTGTGATTGTGGTAATGTGGAATCCAGGATTCGTATAAATATAACAATTTTTTTAATGTCATGGTATAATATATTTTCCAAAACAAAAAAAAGGATTAAAAGTGTTATCATGTAGTATCGCCACGGAATAAAATCTCATAAGATAAGATACGAAAGCTACATTTAGGAATCTCTATTAAAGTCTTATAAAGTTTTTGCTTTCGAGGAAAAGAACATCAAACGAAGAGGATTTTGAGGCACTCCTACAAAATGGAAAAGTAGTTCTTAGTAATTATTTTAATCGCATTTGAAATCAGGCACGACAACTGTACTATTGAAGAACAATTATAGACCAAAAGCTTCGTTTGGTTTACAGACCAAATAAGGACATCTCCAATGATACTCTATAATTTTCACTCTAAAATAGTGCAACTCTATTCTAGAGTTAGATTTACTTCAATGGTTTACTCTATAATAGAGTTACACTATAATAGAATGAAATATAGAGGGATGTTGTTTTTTACTCTAAATATAGAGTGAAAAAGCAATATTCCTCTATATCTCACTCTATTATAGTGTTAACTCTATTATAAAATAAACTATTGGAGTAAATATAGAGAAAATTATAGAGCTCCATTGGAGATGGTCTAAGAACGACAGACAACATTTTTTCCATTTCAGTGTCGTTTTTGTTGAAAGCAATTTTTTTGAAAAAAATTGCTAAATGCAAAGTGTATTTAACTCAAAAAACAACACTGATTTTTTTAACAATTTACAGGCGTCTAGTCAATTTTCACCAAAGATCAAATGAATATTGTTAGATAAGTTGTTCAACGTCACGACCACGGTGTCTTAAAATGTAACGATTGACTTCGACTTCCTATAAACGTCGCTCGTGCATTTTTAATTTTTGTTGGGATTCTACATGAAGTTAATGATCCTTGTACCATAATTCTATCTTTGCAAAAGGGTCCTTTTTCATTTTGTAATTTACTAGAGCTAGATTTAAAGTCGAGGTTTCATTAACGTCGAGATATGCATGTGTGCTACCATATTTGATTGCCATGATAGTTTTGCTAAGCGCTTCATTTCTAAATTTATAATTAGCTTAATATTCTAATATATTCGTGGATCTGATACGGGTTTGTGATCGTGATTCGTCATTAGGATATTCAATACAAATACAATGCATGAATCCTATTTGAATATGAAAAATAATAATGCATCCATCTATTAGGAAGAAACAGGATGTTATGCAACATGATGAGATTCTTTTTTTTTTTAAGATTCTTTTGTTAAAGTGGTAGTAGTTTGTAGTAACTCTTGTGATCTTTTGTTTTTGACTCAACTAGAAACAAATGAAACTAAAATAAGCTCATTGAATAATAAATATCATCATCGTAATCAAGCAGCTAGTCTACAATATAGAGTGGTGGAACAGATTAAATGTAGTACTTTCTAATTAATAATAGTATATACTTTATTCCTCGATCTCATCATTTTAACGTTATAGCTAGAGCCTAGCTAGTACCGTTGAGATAAAGACGCATGACGACATCTTACGTGCGAAGACACGACCGACACAAATCCACGTGGACCCCTTAGTTTCGACCTATAGGCCGTCTCATCGTACGGTCTCCGGTAAAACTTCAGATACGGTACGAACGCTTCACGTGATGACTTCTCGCCTCCGCCCACATTTTTCTCCCCGCGAAAAAACATCGCCGGAGACTGAAAGAACGACGGACGTGGTGTTTTCCGGTATGTTTTCTCCGGCAACGGCGTCGAGGGAAACACACTCTTTCTCATGCATGCGGGTTGTCTCGCGTCTCTTAAGCCACGCGCCGCGGGAGACGCGAAAGACATCGACCGCACGCTGATCGGAGACACTTTAGAGCCTGCGGTTGAGACTGCTGCGTTAAGAGGAGCCGTGTCGGTGAATGAAAGGTACCACGGTTTCAAGGAGTTATGAGATACGGTGAAGGCGAATCTTGAAGACGCTGAACCACTCGTGGCCGTTGATTTAACCGAAGATGCATCGAAACGTAGAGAGGCGGATCTAGGACATGATGATGATGCTAATGAAACGTGGCTGATGTCTAGCTGCTCGTCATAGTCTAGCGAAGAGATCAACGTTGTGAGCGTTGATAGCTCCACGAAAGGACGTACACCCTGTCAAATAAGTATACGTACTTCGAGCTTATCCATGTAATTACAAAAAAAAAAAAAAGAGTAAATTGAGTAGTATTATTTACCTTCCAAATGTAAGAGAAAAAAGAGGGAGGGTCAATGATAAAGGCCTTGTAAAGTCGGCATGGGTAATTATCTGCAATAATCTTTAGGGTCGCCAAAAGCAGATTTGCAAATGCAGACGATGAGCTGAAAAAGCCTATTTTTGTAGGCATTATCATTGAAAAAAAAAAGTAGCAAAGAGAATATTAATAAAGTGGCACCAATAATTAATTGTGTAATCAGGTTTAAAGATGTATTTCTGTAGATATAAAATTGTACATTTTCCTTCAAAAGAATGAAAACTGAAAAGGTGAAATTAAAAAAAAACTTTTGTACAGGAAAAAAGCTTAAATCTTTATAAGCGTGATACGAAATGAATATACTAATTATTCATTTTCAACTTCATGGTAAAAAAAATATTATCTTTGTAAAATGAGTATACATTTATTATTAAAGTAAATATTTAAATATCATCATGGTTTCAAAAATTCGTATCAAAAATAATACTAAATAAAACAATATGAAAGCAAATGAGAAGATAAGAATTATTTTTCATTCAGATTTTTTTTGGTTGTAAATAAAATGTTTAAACACCAACTTTGTGTGAACAGTAAAATTAAGTTACAAAAATAAATGATCTTCCCCCCCCCCCCCCCGGTTCCCTATTTCAAGAAGAAAATTACCACTAAGTTACTTTAATAAGGCTTAACACAACATGATTAAAAAGTTGGATAATATTTTATAATCAGATTTGACTTTTTCAATTTTAAGAAGTACACTTCAACCTGGGATTGTTTTTTCTGTGACTGAATTAAGTACTCAAAGAAAAACTACTTCAAATTTTTTTTTGAAGCTACTGGAACTATAATGAAGATGCGTGTTTTTGGTGGTAATTAACAGAGGAAGTTTAGCGTTGACACATAAAGGGGACAATTCGGACATCTGCATATACATATGTCCGAAAATTCCGGTCCCGACACGCCTCAGTCCAAATTAATAAAACCAAACATGCCAAGAACTCACCGTTTAGTACAGAGCCCACGCACGGCGATTTGGATGGTTACTAGCTAGGGACAAAAATGTAACTTTTTTACTACTACTAAAGACTTACTTGCATCGAAGAGAATAACAACGCTCCGTTCCGCGCTTCTGGACATGCTCGATATTGCAGTCTCCATCGTGAACGCCACCAAACGCGAAAATCTGAAAGAAAAAAAAACGATTTCAACATTCAAAACGCTGGTTAATCAGAATATCAATCAAATAGAGTGGATTAATTATCTGAACTTACTGCTTATGAGTACGCAACTTATGGTAATCATTCTTGAAACGGAACATCTGTAAATCAAAACCTCATTATTGTTATCATTAAGTAACATTTAATATTACTTTTCTAAGAGAACAAGATCGATTAAGAAGAAGTTACTATAACGGGTCTTGAATCTCCGTCATGGCCGGCGATGTACGCTACACCGTCAGATAGCTCCGTCGAGAATTCCTCTGCCCCTAACCGCTCTTTAATACACACACAAAAACAATTTAAAAAACAAAAAAACATACTATTTATGATTGAGATTTGAAGGTTAAATAGAAAAAATATACCAATCTCAATGTCTTGTCTCCAAGAAAGACATGAAACTAGTTGCTTAGCAGCTTTTTTCACATTGTCTCCTTTCCCTTTCAAGAATCTCTCCACGCACTCTTTGTTACAGAACTTCTCCTAAAATATATATATAAGGTTTGCAAGCTTTATTCATGAATATACAATAAACATGCAGATATATGAGTTTTATTAACAGAAAGTAATTAAACGTACTTGTTTAAGAGTGAGTGGAGATTGTTTCCAGAGTATATGAAGAACAGCTTCGACTTTCTCATCTTTCTTTCCCATTTCTTGATGATATAAATGTTTTTGTTCTGTTTAAAGAGTTTGTGAACAGAGCGAGATGATGAAGAGCCAAGAAAGAAATAAATAAGAAGCTGACAATGATTGCTTATGTGTGTGTACCGCGAGTGTCTTTCTTGGAGCAAAAACCTTTGTAGTTTTCTCTCTCTAGAGAGCAAAAAAAAAACAGAGACAGTATGTTGTGTTATGGAAACGGTTTCTGCCAACGACTTATATATGTCGGAGGAGTTATTGGCTGATGACGTCGTTTTGCCGAACGTTGATGATGTGAAAATCGTTGGCGGTATCTAACGCCGTTAAATGTCTTCCCTTTTGTAAATTAACATCTAAACTTCAGCAAACACTTAAATAAAAAAACAAAAACTTCAACAAACACTTGCAATGTATTAATTTGTTGGGCTTTTTGCATAATTGACCTGAAACTTAAAGTCAAACACAAAACTAACCTCCTTTTTTTTTTGGAATTTTATTTTGCCCAATTCACCCCACAAGTTCATATGATTCACGAAAATGCCATCAATTTTTTTTTTTTTTCGAAAATAACATATTTATTCTCTCACCCTCATCATCTTCAAGTAATTACAAGATTGCCATTGTCATCAATACTCCAACAACCATGAACAACCAATTTTGAAGCTCTTAATGCCTCCAAATTCCATTTACCCTTCTTCTTTCTCTATTCTCATGAACTAAACAACACATTACAACACATATCTCTCACTTTCTCTCCACAATGAGCTAAAAAAACCCA